CAGCCGTTACACTTTCTTTTCCACCAACTATTCACGTCCTTTACCCATTTTCTTTTTGGCTCGTTGGGTTTTTAAAAATCGATTTATGTAAACTCTTCTAATATTAAGGAATTAGCCTTTTATTTGTGTTACAATATTTGAATCACAATGTGTCTCCTTTTTTGTGCTGCTATGATTTTGTGTGTGGCATTTACTTTGTTTTGCTCTGGCACAGATACTTCTTATTATGATTTGAATGTGTTGACTTTTTCTTTAGTTTCTTCTGGGTTCTGGAAAAGGCCTTCCCTACTTTAAAACTGTGAAAACTTTATCACGATTTCTCCTAATATTCTCATGGTTTTAGTGAGAATAAAGAGTGAGGTAGGGACAACTTTGCCTGCTCTCAGTGGGTCTCTGATGTGATTTTATTTATTTATTTATTTATTTATTTATTTATTTTTGGACAGGCTTTTGCTTTAGGGCGCATGTGCTCCCCAGAAAGACAGAGAGAGACAGAGAGACAGAAAGCGAGAATTCACCCCCCATGGGGGATGGCCATGCCGCAATCCCTTCTCCTCCATTCTCCTCTCGGGATCCTGGGCATGCACGCACATGTGCCTGGCGTGAGTTTAAGCCACCGGGTCCAGGATTCAAACCACAGTCGACCACGTGGGAGTCCAGTGACACAGCCATTACGCCAACTGCTGGTCCCCCTGGTATGAATTTAAGTAGCCACAGAGTCACAATAAAAGAGGTGGGGAGAACCACACACCTATGTGGGTAGAAAATCCCAGTGAGTGTGTTGTTTTCTCTGCAGTTGTGGAGTGGATGCCCACCCGAGGCCGGACTGTGGCGGGTATCTTGCTGGGGTACTCCTTCACTATGGGTCAGCTGATCCTGGCTGGAGTGGCATACCTGATCCGCCCCTGGCGGTGGCTGCAGTTTGCTGTCTCTGCTCCTTTCCTGATCTTTTCCCTCTATTCTTGGTATGTCCTGAGCGGGGGTGGGGGGGTGGAGGGGGTAAGAGAATGCTCCTCTTTGGCCAAGCCATCGCCTGGCCCTACGAGAGGCTGGGGTACGCAGTGATTAGGACTTGGTGGGCTCGATGGGGATGCAAAGGATGGCAGGAGCTCATGGGGGCCCCAGGTTCCCCAGTACTCACGTATGGCTATTGGGAAGCTCCAATGAAATACCATGCATTAGTGTGGAGTTCCAGAACATACTGAGTGCTTTGCTGTCATCAACTCCTCTGTACCTCACAACAACCTTGTGGCATTTTATAAGAGGGAAACTGAGGCAGGCATAGCACAGAGAAGGTTCATGATTTATTCAAGACCATACAGCTGGGGTCAGAACCAGATTCAACACTGAGTCTGTCACAGTTATAAGTCCTGTCAAGTCTCTAAGTATCCTTCCATGATTTTCTGATGGGCTGCAAGAAACGGAAGCTGCCATGTCCCTGAGGCTCCCTGGTTCTGCAGACAGAAAGACATTTCACCATTTTTAGGGTCTCAATGGAAGTGGACGAAGGTGGACTTGGGTTTAGGGGAATGGAATAAGCTCCACCAGCACTGGGCCTTTCATCCTTCTCTTTGTCCCAGGTGGCTGCCAGAGTCATCTCGATGGCTCCTCCTTCACGGCAAGTCCCAGTTAGCTGTTCAGAACCTGCAGAAGGTGGCTGCAATGAATGGGAGAAAGGAGGAAGGGGAAAGGCTGACCAAGGAGGTAAGTGAGTGGAAGGAAGAATAGGAACGGTTGTTAGTCTTGCTGGAAGCCTCCAGTTATGTTAGGATTTAGCAGCTGCCCAGGACTCACCTGCCATCCAGGGGTCAAGGCTGGGAACAAAGAGAACTGGCAGGTGTGGGAAAGATGGTTAAACATGGAATGGCTTTGTGATCTGGGATAAAGAATTTAACAGCTCTATCAGTCTATCTATCCGTCCAATAAGGAAATAACCCTACTCACATTGGCATTCAGTAAAAATTTTAATAAAATAAAGATATTAAAATAGTGATCCCAAATAAAATGATTGGAACATCAATATCCAAAGTATCATTTATTAGAAGATTATTACCATTTATTCTCAACAGTATCATTGATGGAGCCCCATGCCAGGCACTGTGCTAAGAACATCACATACATGACTTGGCTTAATGCTTTAGCTCTGCCATCCAGGAAATCGAAGTTTGGATGAGTTGGGTCATTTACTTAGAGCACACCATGGGCGTGGCAGACACACTGGGGTCCCTGCTCTCAGCCACTGTCTGACAGTGCTAGGTTCAGCAAAGGACTCAGAGAGTGACCGTCTCATGCAAGAAGGTTTTATTCAGGCCAATGGCCGGCGGGGTCTGAAGTTAGAGGAACTTCTGCCTACCCTACTGAGAGACGTGATGTCTTTATGTGGGAGGGGTGGCAGGGTAGGGTCTGGAGAATGGTGGTCACTTTGATTAGGGTATTTGCCATTGTGACCATACTGGCCCATCTGTGGCCAGAGGCTGAAACATTTTTGTGGCTTTGTTTGCCAGTAATGAAGGGTTCTGGCCAAAGGTCATGACCGTCTCCTTATGTCCTCATGGGAAATTCCCTAAAGGCCATTCAGGGTTCCGTCTAACCTGCAGTCTTGAAGTTTATACCAGGAATGGGGAGAGGGTCCCTCCCAAACCACAGACCTTGGCAGTGCTGGGACTCACGTTGGCATCTCTGCTTCATCTCAAAGTCCTGGAAACAGCTCTGTGAGAGTCATCGGTCCTGGGATGGGGAGGGGATGAGGGCCAGCCATCTTACCAGAGACCTTGACCCTGACTCTTCTTCCCACAAATGAAGAGGTTCCCAGCAGGGACCCAGATCCCCTGCCTCCACTGACCAGACTTCCCCAACCCAGGTGGTGAGCTCCTACATCCAGAGTGAGTTTGCCAGTGTCCGCACCTCCAACTCCATCTTGGACCTCTTCCGAACCCCGGCCATCCGCAAGGTCACCTGCTGTCTCATGTTGGTCTGGTAGGTGATGGGCAAAGGCCCAGATCTCTGACCTCTGGTGTGACATGCTCTCTGGCCCCACTGACAAACTCTGCTCTGAAATGCTCTTAAAGAAGAGCCAGTGAGCCTTGTGAGTTAGTCTCCTCTCACATTCTTTTTTTTTGGAGAGGTTTTCGCTATAGGGCACATGCGCTCGCCAGACAGACAGAGAGAGACATAGAGACAGAAAGCGAGAAATCACCCCCCAGGGGGAATGGCCACGCCGCAATCCCTTCTCCTCCATTCTCCTCTCGGGATCTTGGGCATGCACGCATACACACCCGGTGTGAGTTTTAAGCCACCGGGTCCAGGATGCGAACCGCGGTTGACTACGTGGGAGTCCAGTGACATAGCCATTACGCTAACTGCTGGTTCCCTCCTCTCACATTCTTGCTCCAGCAGTTGGCCCTCTGCGGGGTGTGGAGACGTGAGAGATGAGAGATTGTGCTGACCCAGGGACCCCACACCTGGGCAGGGAGTCTCACCTGGGGGAGGGATGGTATTGGAATCACCCAGGCAGCATTTCCGGAATGTACGATGTCCCATCCTGATAAGCCCTCAGGGATCACACCCTCTGTCCCTTCTGCCTATCTCCTCCCACTAGAAAGAAACAGGGGGATGGCCATGCCACAATCCCTTCTCCTCCATTCTCTTCTTAGGATCTTGGACACGCAAGTACATGCACCCGGCATGAGTTTAAGCCACCGGGTCCGGGACTCAAACCACGGTTGACTACATGGTCCCATATTTGTTGTGATTTTCAAGCCTCCAGGTCCTGGATTCAAAATGTGTTTGGTCATATGGGAATCCAGCACCTTAACCACCACTAAATTTTCTGCTAATTTTTCTACTGGGTTTTCTTTTTTCCTAATTACTTTATAGGAATTTTTATATTTTCTGGGAACAGTTTTCTTGGAAATATTGGTTTTTGCAAATATCTTCTTCTACTGTACAGGTTACCTTTTTATATATAAATTTTAAAAATTTGCTATAGGGTGCATGTACTCGCTGGAGGCAGAGAGAGAGGGAAAATGAGAAAGTACTCCCTAAGGGGAAATAGCCATGCCTCAATCCCTTCTTCTCCATTCTCCTCTTGGAATTTTGGGCACACACACACACACACACACACACACACACACATGCGTGCACGCTTCACACACACACACGGTCCTGGCATGTTTTTCAAGTCATTGGGTTCAGGATTGAACACTCAGTCAACCATGTGGATCCAGCTGCCTTAACCACCACACTTGCTGACTCTAAAATTTGTATTTTGAAATAAATCTATGTTCATAATAAAGTTGCGGAGCTAGTACAGAACAGAAAGTTCCCAGTGAACTGGGGGTGAAATAGGACTGTTTTGCCGCCTCTGTTCTCCCAGGTTCTCCAACTCCGTGGCTTACTATGGGCTAGCCATGGATCTGCAGAAGTTTGGGCTCAGCATACACCTGGTGCAGGCGCTGTTTGGGATCATCGACATCCCTGCCATGCTGGTGGCCACAGCCACCATGATTTATGTGGGCCGCCGAGTCACAGTGGCCTCCTTCCTCATCCTGGCGGGGCTCATGGTGATCGCTAACATGTTTGTGCCCGAAGGTGAGCCATCTGCTTCTGCCCTTACGCTCACTGGGAGGCACAGATGGGGGCTGACAGGAGAACTGGGAGCCTCTAGGATCTGCTGGGCAACAAATCCCAAGAGGGAATCAGGCTGGGGGGAGTTTCTAGGTGTGAACAGAAACTGACTTGATCAGGAAGTTTTTCTTTTCTTTCTTTCTTTTTTTTGGAGAGATTTTTGCTTTGGGTGCGTGCACTCGCCAGAAAGACAGAGAGAGACAGAGAGACAGAAAGTGAGAAATTGCTCCCCAGGGGGAATGGCCATGCCACAATCCCTTGTCTGCCATTCTCCTCTCGGGATTTTGGGCACGCACACACACGTGCCTAGCGTGAGTTTAAGCCACCGGGTCCAGGACTTGAACTGCGGTTGACTACATGGGAGTCCAGCGATGTAGTCATTATGCCATCTGCTGGTCCCTCCAATCCTTAATATTTTAAACACTGTGAAATGATTCCAGCAACAAGTCAGGGTTGTACATCAGCGACCTGGAGCATATACTAAATCATATGCCCAGGTGTGACCCAACTTTGCCCCCATGGCCTTGGGCAAGTTGTCTAACTTCTCAGTGCTTCGGTTCTTCACCTGTAAAATGAATAGATATTATTGTTAGTACTTTGACATCTTGTCTTCTAATTTTTTTTCTTATTTATAGTTCTTTTACAAATTATTTTAATTTAATTTAATTTATTATTATTTTTTAAAATCTGATCAAAGAGAGACAGAAAGTGAGAAAGCAAGCTGTCAGGTCCAAGACTCAAACTGTGGTCAGCCATGTGAGAGTCCAGTGCCTTAACCACCATGCCACCTGCTGGCCCCCTTATTTATAATTTTTGTATTTTATATAATTGAGATATTGTATGTGTGGGTGTATATATATATAATATATCTCTTTTTACCTAATAACATAGTTATATGTGTACATATGTGCATGTGTACATAAATAAAATATCCTTTCCTCATCATACCTTACAACATAAATATGCTTTTCCATGTTAGTACAAATGTTTCCTGGACCTGAACCTGAGCTTTTTTTTTTTTAAGTTTATTTATTTATTTTTCCATGAGACAAAGGCACATTCAATGGTGTCTTCATACCAAGATCCACCTCCAGCTTTGCCCAGCATGGATCACATATTAATATTAAAGATGATGGCAACAGCAAACATTTAATGAGCACTACGCACTTTGCACTCATGACAAATCATGTCCACCCTGTGACAACCCCTGAAGCAGGTGTTGTTATTTTCCTCATTGTGAGGAGATGAGATGAGGACAGGGAGGCTTAGAGTCAGTAACAGTAACCAAGTTCCCTCAGCTGGGTCAGAGCTGGGATTCCAAACCAGACCTGACGACTCTAAAGCTTGTCACAAGACAAAAAAATGGGAGGAACAAGACAGACATCAAAGAAGGGCAGTTTGGGGTTCTGGTGGGAGTTTAGGTGGGAACCTAAAGTGGTGGAAATCCCAGCTCTGTGTCGCCACTCCACACTGCCCCTTAGGTCTCCCTAATCTCCCAAAGTGTCCCCTCTGCCAATCTTCCTCCCCCCACAACTCCCCCTTCCTTCGTGTTGTGTAGACATGCAGACCCTGCGTGCAGCCCAGGCTGCGCTGGGCAAAGGTTGCCTGGCCAGCTCCTTCATCTGTGTGTACCTATTTACTGGAGAACTGTACCCCACGGAGATCAGGTGAGTGTGGGGGGCAGGTGCTCCAGGTTGAGATCCGCTGGGCTTGCCGAAGCAGGGACCGTGGGTAGTCGTTTCTGCTGTGCCCTCTGATCCCCAAAGTCCTGCCCTCCAGGAAGTCCAGGCCACCCACTGACCACCCACTGACCTGCCTTCTCACCTCCTCCAGGCAGATGGGGATGGGCTTTGGCTCAGTCAATGCCCGTCTGGGGGGACTGATGGCGCCCCTGGTCACCACGCTTGGGGAATTCAATGCCGTCTTGCCGCCCGTGGGCTTCGGGGCCACCTCAATCCTGGCGGGACTGACTGTCTGCTTCCTGACGGAGACTCGTAACATGCCCCTGGTGGAGACCATCGCAGCGATGGAGAGGAGGTGAGGGGCCTGTGACTCAGGGGGTGCGGTGGTCAAATAGGCCACGAGTTAACGTGAAACAATTGAGGGGGTGAACTGGATCTAGATGGCTGCTGCTGTGCGTCTAAGACACAGCTGGGCACACAAGAGCCCCTGGCAAGACCTCAGCTGCCTTCTCTCTCCATTCACGGATTTAGCTTTCAACAAGGTCAGACCCTATCATGAATGTAAAAGTGAGGGCAGAGGGCTGCTGCGGGGCCTGGTGGTACGGCAGTCGACTCCCACAGGGCCAACAGTGCAGCTGGAGTCCAGGAGCTGTGTGGCACACGTGCATGCATGCCCCAGATCCCAAGTGTGAAAGACGGTGTGACTATTCCCCATGGGAAGTGCTTTCTCTTCTCTCTGGCTCTCTCTGGCAAGCTCACACTTCCCCTCGTACAAAACTAAAAAAAGTGAGTGCTGAGGAGCAGGAAACCCGGAAACAAGGATTGGGAGTGGAGGCTGGTGGAGAAGGGGGAAGAAGAGATGTACAGGGAATCTGAAGCAAGTCCCAGTAGGGTCCAAAATCGGGCTAAGCTTCAGAGAGCCAGAAAGGGAGGCCTTTAACCAAAAGAAATTCTAGTTTTGGGTAATGTGGCTTCTGTTAACTCTGCTTGGAGCAATCTATTAGAAAATTATTTTATGTTGTTATTGAAGAGCAACTACTGAAAGCAATTTTCATTTATATAGTGGTTAACAACAAGCTATTCTTTCTGATGACTTCCTGGTAATTAGGCCTGATCTAGCTGGTCCCCAGAGGGGCAGGGGTAACTTGCACAAGTTGAAAAACAAGTTCATGTCCAGATGGGGAACACTCTAGTAAACTCAACAGATGTCACAAAGTAGTCTCAGTTTGTATTGCTTCTATCTTTTCTTTTCTTTTCTTTCTTTCTTTCTTTTTTGTTTTTGTTTTTGTTTTTGGGTTTTTTTGAGAGAATGATTTTTGTTATAGGGTGTGTGTGCTCCCTGGAGAGACAGAGAGGGACAGAGAGACAGAAAGCGAGAAATCACACCCCAGGGAAGGTCACACAGTAATTCCTTCTCCTTTTTCCTTGGGATTTTGGGCACACACACATGCACCCAGTGTGAGTTTTAAGCTGCTGGGTCTGGGACTCGAACCACAGTTAACTCCCTGGGAATCCAGTGATATAATCATTACACCATCTGCTGGTCCCGCTTTTATCATTTATTTTAAAATTATGTGTGCATGAACATGGACACACACAATTTGGAACAATCTGAAACTGACATAAGGACTCGTACAAAACAAAGAACGTTTTTCAGAACTATTTGTGAGAAAGCCATGGACATCTCTTCCGAATACTTTGATGTGTATTTCCTGCAGACAAGGATAGTCTCCTCCATAGACACAGTATAACCATCAAAATCAGAAAGTGGGTCTCAAAGCGTGACTAACATTTATTTATTTATACATGTTTAATTTTGCCAGAGGGCACATGTGCTCACTGGTGAGAGAGAGAGAGAGAGAGAGAGAGAGAGAGAGAGAGAGAGAGGAAGCAACTCCCAGGGGAATGGTCATGTTGCAATCCTTTTTCTTCCATCTCTCCCTCCTTTTGGGTTTTGGGCATACACATACACACATGCAGCCAGCTTTCCAAGTTACCAGGTCCAGGACTCAAGCAGGCAGTTGGCCGTGTGAGATTCAGCCGCCACCTTAACCACTATGCCACCAACGGGCCCATAACTAACATGTAATTGTCAGACCGCATCCAAGCTTTGCCAACTTCCCCAAACAATGTCCTTTAAGACAAGAGGGTCTGGTTCCAACTTACGGTGGCATTTAGTTCTTGTGTGTCCTTCAGACTCAACTAAGGGGTTGTTGTTCTTTCACTTTCATGACTCCAACAGTTCCACAGGGTTTTATCACTGGAAGGAAGAAGATTCCACAAAGTACACTTCTATAAATCTCTCATACAACAAAGAATACAATACAGCAGGAGGAAGAAAATACAAGCAGGGACCAGCAGTTGGTATAATAGCTATGTCGCTGGACTCCCGTGTAGTCGTCGCGTTTCGAGTCCTGGACCCAGTGACTTAAACTCATGCCGGACGCGTGTGCGTGCGTGCCCAAGATCCCGAGAGGAGAATGGAGGAGAAGGGATTGCGGCGTGGCCATCCCCGCTGGGGGATGATTTCTTGCTTTCTATCTCTCTCTGTCTTTCTGGCGAGGGCATGAGCCCTATAGCAAAAACCTCTCCAAAAAAGAAAAGGAAATACAAGCAAACATCAGAGAGGACCAGGATCAGGCATACCTCCCTGGATCCTGCTTAGCCCCCAGGATGTGTTTCCTCCCTGTACCAAAAATCATCAAAATGAATGTGAGGTCTCTCAACCTCAGGCCCATGTTTGCTGCAAGTTTGGGTTATTTTTCTATCCCATTGATCACAGCCAAAATTAAACTATATAACCAGGCGAATCAAGTGCAGACCTCATCTTTTATTCTTAATTAAAAAAAAATATTTAGTTATTTTAATTTGACCAGAGAGAGACACACACAGAGAGAGAGAGAGAGAGGAAAGTGAGAAAGCAAGCTGCTGGGTCCAGAACTTGAACTTCAGTCAGCTATGTGAAAGTCCAGTGCCTTAATCACCATGCCACCTGCTGGCCCCAAAATCTATATGTTAAAAAAAAAAAAGTAGACAGTTAAGGGGTGCTCTGAGGGAAGAGTCCTACATTAATGGTTTTAGGCAGCTTTGAAGGTGAGCATAAAATTATCAATGACCTTGACAGCTTTGGAAATTACAGATCCATTCTTTGTAGATTTCTTCTCCTTTGGTGCGTGCTGGCATGACAGGCTATAGTTAACGTACCTTTGTATGTTGGATAAGAGCATCCCCAAGCTATGCTGTGTCCTTCTCATTGCATCCTAGCAGGTAGTGTATACTAGGGATTTGCTTTAAGCCTGGCGATGTTTCCTCTGATTCTCTAATTCAAGCTTCTAGACCATAAAATTACTCTTTTCACCTTTGTCATTAGTAAGTATTTTGTGGGGATGTACTTTGCATCTATGTAAATATTCCATTCCTCATCAAACCATTTATGATCCCAGGACCTCTCCCATACCAGTCTAGCTACACCATCACGTGGCTCTAACCATTATGCAGGTATATGTTCTCCTTTTATTCAGTGGATTATACTCTGTTTGTTTTCATGCTCAATTTGCATTAGGTTTGGCCAGTGAGAAGCATTTGGCTCTGTGTCTTTTAAACATTCATTAAGCACATCCTTGCTTCTGCCACAGTAAGACATCCCAGGCTCATCTTGCTTTCCCTGTGACGGTCCTGGTTGCAGCCATTTCTTTGAGAGTCCTGGCTCATTTTAGTAGAGGATGGTATAGAGGCCAAGATGTGGGTGTGAGATGTACATTGTTACTGGGGTTTCTTTGTTCTTAGAACCTCTCAGGATAGAGGTGGGGGTATATCTCTCTCTCTCTCTCTCTCTCTGTCCCTCTCTGGTCAAATTAGAATAAATACATTAATTTAGTTTAATTAAAATAATTATTTTTTAAAAAGAGAGAGAGAAAGAAGAAGAAAATGGGGCCAACACGTGCTGTGGTAGTTAAGGAGCTGAATTCCCACATGGTCAACCACAGCTCAAGTCCTGGATCCAGCAGCTTGAAATAATGCCAGGCATGTGTCTGTGTGTCCAAACTCCCGAGAGGAGAATGGAGAAGGGTTTGCGCAGAGCCATCCCCCTGGGGACGGGACTGATTTCTCATTTTCTCTCTTTCTTTCTGTCTCTCTCAGGCAAGCACACACCCCTATAGCAAAACTAAAAAAAAAAAAATTCTTTGACATAAGATTGTAACATTCACAAGTGAGAAAATGCAAATAGGAAGTAAACAGAATGAAAATATATACTTCGGGACTGGCAGGTGGTGTGGTGGTTGAGGTGCTGGACTCCCACGTGGCTGACCGCAGCTCGAGTCCCGGACCTTGTGGCTCACTTTTTCACTTTCTCTCTCTCTCTGGTGAGCACAAGTATCCTATAGCAAATTTTAAAATAATTTTAAAAAATATATCTTAAAAAAATAAAATATACACTTCAGTCAAAATCAAAGAAATGCAAATTAAAACAGAGGTTTTTTTTTTTTTTTAAGAGAGTTTCTTTGCTATAGGGTGTGTGTACTTGCTGAAGAGACAGAGACAGAGAGACAGAAAGTGAGAAATCACCTCCTGGGGGGATGGCCACACCACAATCCCTTCTCCCCTATTTTCCTCTTGGGATCTCGGGCACACACACACACACACACACACACACGTCATGAGTTTCAAGCCACCAGGTCCAGGATTCAAACCACAGTCAACTATGTGGGAGTCCAGCGACATAACCATTACACCATCTGCGGGTCCCGAGGCATCATTTTTAAAGGAAAGATTTTAAAACATAGTAATAGTCAATACAGGAGCCTGTGTGGGGTAAGTGGTAGGAAACCCCTGCAGTTTCTCTGGAAACATCTTTGACATTACCAGTCATGAGCTATAAAAAAAAAAAAAAGGTTCTTTTTTTTTAAGAATTATTTATTTCATTTTATTTATTCATTCATTTATTTTAATTTGACCAGAGAGAGACAGAGAAAGAGAGAGAGACAGAGAGGGAAAGTGAGAAAGCAAGCCACCAGCTCCAGGACTCAAACTGCAGTCAGCCATGTGGTAGGGTCTAGCACCTTAGCCACTGTGCCACCTGCTGGTCCCCAGTTTCATGTTCTTTTATTTATTTATTTGTTTATATAGGCGAGATTTTTTGCTATAAGGTGCGTGCGCTCACCAGAAAGATAGAGAGACAGAGAGACAGAAAGCAAGAAATCACCCCCCAGGGAGGATGACCACACCGCTATCCCTTCTCCTCCTTTCGGGATCTTGGGCATGCATGCACATGCACCTGGCATGAGTTTTAAGCCACCGGGTCCAGAACTTGAACCACGGTCAACTACATGGGAGTCCAGCGACACAGCCTTTACGCTAACTGCTGGTCCCTCATGTTCTTTTATATAGCAATGACATTCCCAGGATTTTGTCCTAAGAAAATAAGCTAAAATATGGACTATGGTCAGTTTATATACAAACATATCTTTGTGTATAATGTATCAGAAAAAATGTAAATTTTCCAAACATCCAAAAACTTAAATAAGTCACGATAAATTGTACAATAGTTCAATTACATTAGGAAGCTTTTTTTTTTTAATTGCCAGAAAGTGCAAGCACTGACCAGGAAAGACAAAGAGGGAGGTGGAGAAAGCACCCTCCAATCGGCGTGGTCCCCATTCACCAGCTGGCTGGCCTTGGTGTGAGGCTGGCCTCCACACCCTCACCTGTAAAACTGCAGAACTCTTTGATCGCATGGCCCTCCAAGTCTATCCCAGCCAGGCTGGTCTCAGCAAGCTGTGGGACCTCAGCTATGAGGCAGCAGGTGGGAGAAGACATGCCATGGAGAGGACAGGGGAGGTCCTGTTTGGTGCCCCCAGAGAAAGGGTCACTCCAGCTTCACCTTTTTGGCTCAGTGAGAGTGGGAAAACGTATCTTGCTTATGACACAAACCCTCTCCTGAAGACCCCACACCACCTACCCCTCACCTACTCCCTTCAGCCTCTTCATTTCATTTTTCCGTTTGCATTTTTGTTCTAACAGAGTCAAAGAAGGCCCTTCCAGGCAGGATGCAAAAGAGAAGAGTGAAGAAATTTCTCTTCAGCCCCTGGGAACTTCTCCTCTAAAAGAAACTATCTAGAGGCCAGCAGATGGCGTGGTGGTTAAGGCATTGGATTCCCATGGCTGACTGAGGTTTGAGTTCCTGGACCCAGCGGCTCGAAAATCATGTTAGGCACGTGTCCATGCATGCCCAAAGTCCCGAGAAAAGAATGGAGAGGGGATTGGGACGTGGCCATTCCCTCTGGGCGGTGATTTCTCATTTTCTGTCTCTCTGGAGAGGGCATGCACTCTACAACAAAAACCTAAAAAAAAAAAAAAAAAGAGAGAGAAAAAAAAAGTCTAAGAACCTGGGTTTGCAGCACCTCAGCAACAGCCACTGTGCATCACAATCATTCAGAGAAACAGGAGAAGCCCCATGCCAGGGACTAACGGAGAGGCTGTTTTTGTAGCAATGAAAGTACTGTTTTCTTTTGCCATCCCTGAATCTGTCCCTTAAAATGCCTGTTTGTTCTTGCTCCACCTGAGGATCTGTGTCTTTGTGGGGTTAGGGTGACATTTCTGCCATGAGATTGTGTTTGGAAAGGCCCCACTTGTCCTTGAGGAACTCCAGAACTCAGTGTGCTCTGCTCATTTGGAAAGCGTAAACTTTCCTGCCCTATGAGATCGAAAAACTCTTTTGCCACGTATGTGTGACTGACCAGTGAATGTCTCCACAGTAGGTCTTTCGCCACCTTTATATCCCCGGCAGCCCCTTGCAGTAGGTCTTGCAGATGGTACGTGCCCAATACGTAGCAGGAAGAAACAATACACCTTTGCCTTTTGCTTGCATGCCTAGCAATCAATGCCACTTTGCTGGAGTGGGAGATGGTTCGGTCCCCCAGAAGTGTTACAGAGAGCAAAATCCCTGGTACGACACAGCATCCCTGTGACCTCAGATCCATTTCCAGCCCAGATGTTGTATACCTGCATCCCTGATCTTGACCTTCTACAGAATTCAAATTAGATTCACAGGGGATTCATATCTTGGCCCAGGTGGTTCTCACTGACCTCCCCTGACTGCCGCGGGCTCCCATGATACCCTCTGTCAACCTGCCATTGTTGTTCCCAAATGTCATGGACCCATTCAAATGATGGTCTCTCCAGTGGCTCCTCACAGGCAGGGTTAGGTCATCTTTGCCTACACATAGTAGATGCTCAGGTCATGTTGCTAGAGAAAATCAAATAGTCATGAGGAGGGAAGAAAAAGACTTACACTTGCTGAATGATGAGGGAGGAGGCAGAACTAACTGGGTGACCGACACAGAACAGGAATCCGTATGTGTTTGACAACAAATCTGTTAGGGTTGGCCCCATGGCCTAGTGGTCAAGGAAGCTGGATTCCAGTGGTTGTCCATGGTTCACATCCCAGCCCTAGAGGCTTGGAAAACACCTCGGCACTTAGGTGTGCATTCCTAAAATTCCAACAAGATGGAGAAAAAGGGATTGTGGCATGACCATGCTCTCTGGGGAGGAGCTGGGCGGGGGTACTTTCTCCCTCCTTCTTTCCCTCCCCCCTCTGTCTCTCTCTGGTAAACACATACACTCCCTGACAATTAAAAAAAATGTTGTAGATACCATTTTATTTTGATTTTTAAAGAAAATGTATGGCTCTCAATTCCCAAATCCCCTGAACGTTTAAAAAAGACTGGTGCTGGAACCTATTTCTCAGGATTCTGATGTCATTGGAGAGGGGGCCCAGGATGAGAACCACTAGTCTAAAAATGATTTTCCTAACTAGTAAGAGAATTTATACAATGCAACTCAGTAGATAGGGTTAATTATAACAAGGCAGTGAACTCCTAGTTTGTGGGTTAGTTATGAGGAAATCAAGAAAATTTGATATTGCAGAACAAATATAATACCTTTAAGTGAACAAAGGTGATTCTCTATAACACATATTCTGACAATGAAGTTTTCTACAATAAGCATAAATAATATGCAAGGTTTCAGGCCATGGATAAAACTGTAAAGACTTGGCTCTTGCCCTTTTTTTTTTTTTTTTTTTGAGAGGTTTTTGCCATAGGGCGCATGCGCTTGCCAGAAAGACAAAGAGAGACAGAAAAGGAGAAATCGTCCCCCAGGGGGGATGGCCACTCCGCAATCCCTTCTCCTCCATTCTCCTCTGGGGATCTTGGGCACGCACGCACATGTGCCTGGCATGAGTTTTAAGCCACTGGGGCTGGGATGGGTACCGTGGTCTACTACATGGGAGTCCAGCAACATAGCCATTACGCTAACTGCTGGTCCCTCTTGCCCTTCTTAGGAAAAACGCCAGCTCTGAGGGGCTAGAGGGTGGCACAATAAAACAGGGTGATCTGAAAGACAATTCCACATAAGAAGTTCCACAGTTCAAGTCTCGGGGCTTTCCTGAGTATGCTGGGCACACACTTGCCCGTGATCCAAGGCTGGCTGGGGCTGGGAATGGGTCATGGCATCGGTATCCTGTTGGGATGTTCTCTCAAACAAACAAAAACAAAAAAATACACTGTTGGGAAGGCCAGCAGGTGGCATAGTAGTTAAAGCACTGGACTCCCACATGGTCAATCATAGTTTGAATCTCGAACCTAGCAGCTTGCTTTCTCACTTTCTCTTTCTGTCTGTCTCTCTCTGGTCAAATTAAACAATAATCATCATGATAATGATGATGATGAATAAAATAAAAATGAAATAATTTTTTAAAGAATTATTTAATTGTATTTATTTGTTTTAATTTGACCAGAGAGAGAGGGAAAGTGAGAAACCAAGCTACCAGGTCCAGGACTCGAACCATGGTCAGCCATGTAGGAATGTCCAGCGCCTTAACCACCATGCCACCTGCTGGTCCCAAAATGAAATGATTTTTTAAAAAATAAAACACTTTTGGGACAGGTAGTGGTATCTAGGTTAAGGCAGCTGAATCTGACATGGCTGAATGAGTGGTTCAAGTCTTGGACCCAGCAACTTGAAAAATAGACCAGGCGTGTGTATGTGTGTGCCTAAATCCCAAGAGAAGACTGGATGAGAAGAGATTGCGGCATGGTCAGCCCTCCCCCCGGTCCCCCCCGAGGGAAATGCTTTCTCATTTTTCCTCTTCTGTCTGTCTCTGTCTCTCTCTGGTGCATGCACATGCCCTGTGGCATTTTTTTAAAAATATATAAATAAATTTTAAAAAAGCTCTGCCCCAGAAACTACTAACTGAAGTCAAGTTCCTGATGATGTTATGTAGACTGAACTACAGGCATATCTTGGAGATACTGTACGTTCAGTTCCAGGCCACTGCAATAAAGTGAATGTTTCAATACAGTGAGTCTCACAAATATTTTGGTTTCCCAATGCATATAAAAGTTACATTTGCACTATACTGTAGCCTATTAAATACAGATAGCATTATGTCTTTTTTTAAAAAGTACATATCCTAATTTTTTTGTTTGTTTAGGTTTTTGCAATAGGATGTGTGTGCTTGCTGGAGAGAGACAGAGAGAGATAGTGAGAGGGAGAGCAAGAAAACCCTCCCCCAGGGGGGGATGGCCACACCACAATCCTTTTTCCTTCCCTGACCTCCTGGGATTTTGGGCATGCACACAAATGCTACCAAAGTGATTTTCAAGCTGCTAGATCTGGGACTCAAACCACAGTCAGCCATGTGGGAGTCCGGTGCCTTAACTACCACTCCACCTGTTGGTCCCTATACATAACTTTTTTTTGGTAGAAGTTTTTGCCTTAGGGAGTGTGCACTCGCCAGAGAGACAGAGACAGTGAAAGGAAGGTGAGAAATCACCCCCCAGGCGGGAATGGCCACACCACAGTCCCTTCTCCTCCACTGTCCTCCTGGGATTTTGAGCACACACGCACACACGCCCAGCATGAGTTCAAGCCATCAGGTCCAGGACTTGAACTGTGGTCAACCATCAGGAAGTCCAGCGATGTAACTGCTACGCCATCTGCCGGGCCCTCATAACTTAATTTAAAAGCACTTTATTTCTGAACCAGCCTGTGGCCTGGCTTCCACAGAGCGAAACTCACAGCTCAAGTCCTAGACACAGTGGCTTGAAAAACATGCTAAGAGTGTGTGCATATGTGCCCGAAATCCTGAAAGGGGGGAGAAATGGAGAAAGGAGTGTAGCATGACCATGCCCCATGGGGGGAGGACTTCTCACTTTATGTATGCACACACACACACACACACACACACACACACATGTGTAGTTGACCGCAGTTTGTGTCCCGGACCCAGTGGCTTAAAACTCACGCTAGGCGCATGTGCGTGCGTGCCCAAGACCCCGAGAGGAGAACGGAGGAGAAGGGATTGTGGCATGGCCATCCCCTTTAGGGGGTGATTTCTCACTTTCTGTCTCTCTATTTCTCTCTGTCTGTCTGGCAAGTGCACGTGCCCTATAGCAAAAACCTCTCCGCCCAGCCTATGGCCTAATGGCTATGTCGTTGTACCTCATGTAGTTGACCGTGGTTCAGGTCCTGGATGGGTGGCTTGAACTCATGTCGGGCATGTGGGCATGCATGCCCAAGATCCCAAGAGGAGAATGGAGGAGAAGGGATTGCAGTGTGGCCATCCCCCCTGGGGGGGTGAATTCTTGCTTTCTGTCTCTCTCTGTCTGTCTGGTGAGTACACGTGCCCTATAGCAAAAACCTCTCCAAAAAAGGGGGAGGATGGGCCAGCAGGTGACTTGCTCGTTGAGGCGCTGGACTCCCACCTGGTCGACCGTGGTTCAAGTCCTGGACCTGCCAGCTTGCTTTCTCTCTCCCCTTTCTCTCTCTGTCTGTCTGTCTCTGGTCAAAATTGAAAAATGGTGAAACTAAATAAATTAAAAATAAATAAATCTTTAAAAAAAAAATAAGGGAAAGGGACCTCTTTACTGTGGTCTGTGGTACTGACACTGGAAGACAGCTCTCACGATGCACTTCTTTACATTTTCACTGAGATGGTAGAACCTGGGCTCGCAGGAGGCAGGCGCCATTGAGAGACAGAATTTTTTTTTTTGGAGAGGTTTTTGCTATAGTACATGTGCGCTCGCCAGAAACACAGAGAGAGGCAGAGAGACAGAA